CAGACGATTTCAAGGCTTTGGACAAGATGGAGTGGGTGCCGACAGTGTTCATGCTGTGTTCGACGTGCGCGAATATCATATCGGGACGCGTGGCAGAGGCGTTCGGGCGGCGGATGGTGCTAGGGCTGGCACTGGCGGCGTTTGTGGCCGGCGCAGCCTTGTCTGCTACAGCGCCGAGCATGGCGGTGTTCATTTGCGCGCGCGGGATCTCGGGCGTGGCATGCGGCGGGATGCTGAACCTGTCAATTATTGTGATCTCGGATCTGGTGGAGCTGGAGCGACGCGGGCGGTTCCTCGGGTGCCTGCAGATCTGCTTTGGCCTGTCGAATGCCGCGGGGCCGCTGGTTGGTGGGATGTTTGCAGACCATGTGGGCTGGCGTGCAGCATTCTACACAGACATGGGTGTGGGTACAGCGACGCTGCTGTATCTGGCATTAGTGCTGCGTGCTGAGCCGGCGCGACGCACTGGCGTGCGGCTGGACTACGCAGGCATGGCAGTGATCGTCTCCAGCATCTCGCTTCTGATAGTGGGCATGAACATAGGCGGCACAATGCTGGCATGGACGGCGCCGACGACGATTGCGTGTCTGGCACTGGGTGGGCTGTTGCTGGGGCTGTTTGTCGTGGTGGAGCTGAATGTCCACAATGAGCCGCTGGTACCAATGTGGGTGTTTGGCGTGCGCAACCTGGTGATTGCGTGTATGGTGACGTTCTTCTGCGGCATGACTATGTTTGCGGTGATCTTTTACATGCCTGTATATTTCTCGGCAGCATTCGGCGTCAGCGCGATGCGTGCTGGCCTGCTGGTTTTGCCGTTCGGCATAGCGCTTAGCATCTCGTCGTTCGCCAGCGGCTACGCAATGTCAGCTACGGGCAAGTACCGACTGCTTCTGCGCCTAGGCCCGGCAGTGATGGCTGCAGGTGTCGTTCTTCTGGCTCTGCTGGGCAAGGTGCCACCGATCGCACAGGCACTGCTGCTTTTGGTGCCCGGTGCAGGCATGGGCAATGTAATAGTAGCGAATGTGATCGCGGCGCAGGCGACAACACATCCGCGGCTCGTGGCGACGGTGACACCGCTGTGTGAATTCTTCTTGAGTATTGGCGGCGTGATAGGCGTGGCTCTGTTTGGTGCAGTGCATCGCAACCGGCTCGCTCATATCCTGGCGGCAGGTGCTGCAGGCGAATCGCCAGCTGCTCAGAAGATTATTGGCGAGGCACGGCGCGATGTTAGCGTAGTGTATGCAACGACGATTCCTGGCCCTCTGCGCGCAAAAAATCGCCAATGCATACATGCACTCGATGGCACTAGGGCTCTGGGTGCTGCTGCCGTTTCTAGTCATTGCCTTTGTACTGGCAATGGCTCTGGAAGGGAGCCCGCTCAAGGCCGGGCCAAGAGACGCGCCTTTGGACAGCGAATAGATATCCGTTATATATCCCCTTAAAACTTGTGTGATATTATTCAACTTTTCAACACAATATATTCCTGTACAATTTTACATGCAGATATTGAGTACGCATGCGGTGCTACATCAAGCTTGCTACTATCGCTGCCTCTGTGGCCACCAGCGAGTGCAACATAAAATCTACACGTGCATATATAAATGCACCTTCCATTCCACTTTCAATCTAATGCAAGACTTGCTAACTACAGATGCAGCTGGGAACTGCTGTTGCTTATGAAATGGATAATGCGTGGATGATGGATTTGATGATCATTTAGTATATGTATCTTTAGCATGTGTACGTACAAGTACTTCATATATTACCCTCTACTGGATGCTAATGTGCTGAGAGATCCAAAAGCTGAAGGCGAGTGATAAGTGATCTGTAATGCTCGCTTCCCAAGATATCTTGTCGCTCGGTGGACTTATCACCAATATATAGTACTGGAACTCCCGAGCCACCCATTACCTTGTTTTCCTGTATGCATCTGATGGTCGGGCACAGTATGGACAGTATCGTTACCATTCTGCAGCTGGCCATCAGGCCGTTTGTATACCCACACACATCCAGGATCATAAGGGGTTTGGAGTGGATACTACTGCCTATAGAGGTCCCCGATACAATTCATGTTTGTGCAAGCAATCGCTGTGAACACGCGTGGCTGCTTTCCCTTAATATCTAAATTCTCCAGCCTGGTAGCGCTGCGACGAACGAGTTCAATTTCAGGCGATTCGGCTGATGTGATACCGATTGACAGTCTATGCATGCCGATGATAATAACAGGGACGCTGATCCAAGAACTCCTGTATGTATTATAGATACCGATCGAGATCGAGTTGGCAACAAGACCCGAAATAAAAGTACGGACAAACAAGCTAAACCATGGTCACCTAGTATATCGGGCCGAGAGATAATTCGGTTCTTTGCATTAGGGAGCATTCAGATTACCTCGTCGCAGAATGCCTGGGCATAGGTTGGATCATCGCACTGAACCATATCATAATCGCTTGGCCAATTGGTGTCAGATACAAGTCCGATGGTTGAGACACCAGGGAGTACTAAATCGTCAGAAGGTGGCTCTTTGAAGTGTCCAAGTAAAGCACCATCTAAAATTTCTGAGATAGAGAAATGCAGCGTCAGCATTTTGATGTGAGAACTGCTGTGCGTTGCTAGAGCGCAAGGTAGCCCCATAAGCGCCCAGAATCTATCCTCTTTAGACAGAACTTAACAATGTATGATATCAATGATGCACCAATTGATATCTCAGTAAATCCTATCCAAGTCTGCGCTCCTCCATGCAGAGCACACGCCAATTAATGACACCATATCGAGAAAATATGAGCCATCACTATACCGATGCTTCCTAGTTGCCCAGCTATCATCAGCTGTATATCCAACAATTTGTTTAAGCATGAGGGCAGGGAGAGATTGGGCAGGTGAAGCGATGGAAGAGAACATGAGTGAGTGAATAGAGCAAGCAAACCACAATGAAGAAGAGATAAAAAAAGGGTGGCAATGATCTGTCTTTTTAAGACAAGCAGTAGGCGTTTCCGCAATGATGCCAGAAACATCACAGATACCAGCTGTGGCCAGAAAGCGGGTTTGATTAGGTGTTTGCAGACAATACAAAACAGAAATCCTCAGCTACTTGCTTAGGAAGCTACGGTCTGCACAAAGAGAGCAACCACCTTTGCCTCATTACTTGTTTTTAGGAACCTTGTTTTGCACCAGGTCAAGTGGAATGTACGTCTACGTATACTGAGAATGGCCCTAGACTACCGAGCGCTTTACCCGTCGAGCGACCTTTCCCTACGCTATATATTGAGACATAGGTAATAATAGCTAGGATAAAGTGCAGCAAAGTATCTCCATTTGATAGCTAGGCGGTGGCTAACATACCCCTCACCTGGCGCCCAACGTGTGTCTCAGTGAGTAGATACAAGGGGCGTATCTCTAAAACTAAAACAAAAAATGGCCCATCACCTTAACCCAAAACATTGATAAAGCTACCATACCCAACAGTCTCCCAATAGTGTGATACAAACAACTCCCCTGCACTCGCATGTATTTTTCCATCCGATCATGAGCAGCACTTCATTTGAGATCACGCGGATCCCGACGCCAGACGAACAACGCGCACTGACAACCGAGACCGTCTACACAACTACGATCTCGCCGCAGGAGACCTCGCAATTGCTTTCGTTCATCGCCAAGCATTTGCCTAAGCTGACCGGCATTGAGCACGTGAAGCGCGTGCGCAAAACCAGCACTTGTCTGCAGGTAATCCTCTGCCAGACTAGCGCTATTACAGAGGAAGAATTGCTATGTATCCTGAAAGACTCGGAATGGACATTGGGGGAAATCTGTCAAGTGCCGGATACGCCGCCGATCACGGCCGATCAGTTTAGCAAGTGGAAGGATGTGTGGCCGGTGGCATTCCGTCCGCCGGCACAGAATCGCGTGGAGATTACTGAGGAGGAGAGGAAGTACATTGCCGGGCAGATTTTGCGCAGTGAACAGGAGGGCGTGGTGATGTGTCAGCCCAAGACCCATGCAGTGGTGGCTAGTGCTAGGGCCCAAGATCACCCTTGAGACATGCAGCTATGTGCTGTATTGGCAAGGTGGCTGATCTGGAGCTGGCGCGGAAAGACAGTCTGGTGCCGGCCAAGCGCATGCACGATGAGCCAAGTGACACGGCCGGGTACCTGTGCGAGGGCCTAGATGTGTTTGCAATAACCGAGCCATGTGTGATGTAAGTCGAGGCAAATGCAAATTGGAGGTGCTATTTTGCAAATATGGTGCTAAATAGCTGTTTCATTGTAGGTGCTGTATGGCGCTGGTGCATTCGCGGATCGGACGGTTATTTTTCATCAACGCAGCGAGCGGCGGTGGGATCAGCTACTATGGAATGCATGCGCGCAAGGGTCTCAACCACCATTTCTCTGTGTTCCAATGTTCAATGCCTGAAAAGTCCGATGCGTAATTAACAAGCAATAAACCTACTATTGGAAATATAATGGCACTTCTAGATTGGATTCTGGATGTGCCTAGACAGTGGACGATACGGTTACTGCGTATCTCCTCATGTGAAGATCCAGGATAAAAAGCAGCAGCCTGTCCTGCTGGGTCTTCGCTCTACATTATCCTTCCCCTATCCAATGAAGCTCTTTACTACCTTAACATTCTTCGCTCTCGTGGGACTTGCCACGGCCGTGAGCGACAGCGACTATGCAGCTATCAAGAAGGCGCTGGCCAGCGAAATGAGCAACCACCATACGTTCACGACCCCCGAGCTGTACCATGACTTGGCAGCAGCCCTGGGGCTGACGGACGCCTGCGCAGTGCTGTACAATGGCTCGCCGAATTTGCTGCTTGGGTACCAGAAAGTGTACGAGCGCCTGAGCGCACTCGCTAATGACCCGACGAACACGGCCGAGCAGACAAAGACTATCGGAGATTTGCGCGATTTCACGCACAACGTAGTTTTGACTGACCCGAACCACCTCTAAAGAAATGAATAAAAGCTCAGTTTGGTAATCGAAAAAGAAAACGCCATCTCAAAAGATATCCTCGACGTCCTCCCATGCGTCAATCTTGGGCGGGCCACTGGTCTGGTGCTTTGCGGCACGCTCGCGCTCAGCCCAGTATTCGCCGGTGAAGCGCCAGTAGGACTCGCCCGAATCCTTGTCAGTGTCCTTGACGAACCAGCGTGGCTTCCATGGCTTCAGCTCGCCTTGCTCGCGGCGCCGCCGTGTTGCACGCTGCTTATTCTCCAAGCGCGACTTTTCACGGTCGGCGAGCTCGTATTCGCCGGTCTCCATCGCGCGCTGGTCAGGGCGGAAGCGCGAGTCGGTCGGGCACAGGTACGGCTCGAGCCCGGCGGGCTTATCATTGAGCGACACGGCAAAGTTGGTTAGGTGGTAGGCGTTTTCGCCGCGTGCATTGGCCTTCCAGAGCACGAACGGGCGCTGCGGCAGCTCCAACGAGTTCGACTCGGCGAACCGCACCGCATCGCCCAGTGTGGCCGCGTCGTCCATGTACTGCCGGGCGCGGGATGTCGGTGGCCTCGGAGTCTCCACGGTGGCCGACAGGCTTGGCGACCAGCTTGGAGGTCCAGTCGCCGGCGATTTCGTGGACAATGGAGCCCCGGCGGTTACGGGCCTCGCCAGTCACGCGGAACTTGTTCTTGCCCATCCAGTTGGACTGCATAAAGGTGATTTTTGTCAGGTCGCCGGTGCGGTGGTTGCGCACGTTCAGGTCGCCGACATGCTCGATCCAGAAGTTGGCAATCATGATGCCGTTCACGTTCGTCGTCAGCTTGTCCCACGTGTAGTGCTCGGTGAAGTACCCCTCGTGTATGTGCGCTTCTTGCTTTGGTGTGCCCGCGTCGGCGTCGCGCTCCAGGAACGCCAGGGGCAGCTTCAGTGTCACGTGGCACACGCCCGTCGGGACCACGGTCAGCGAGCCGCCGTTGAACTTGGAGCGGATGTTCGTGTCGGCATGGTACGTGTAGTTCTTGCCCTCGACCCAGCACGCGGAGATTGGCGGGTGGTGCTCGACCTGCTCCGACAGCGCGCGGTACTTTTTGTCCCGCCTGACGTACTCGAATGTCTCGCCCAGCAGCGGGTTGAACGGCTTGGCGATGCGGCCAAAGGTTGACGCGTAGTTGCTCATGGCGAAGCCAGCTACAAATAGCGTGCGGTCCTCGCTGCGCCGCAGAAGCGTCGCGATCTCCAGTAGATCGCAGTACTCCATGTCCTCGGTAAACCGCTGCAGGAACGACGATGGCTCGTTGAAGAACACAGGCACAGAGATCTTGGACAGATCCTTGCCGATTGCGCCTTGATGATCGACCACAGGTTCAGCGATGGCCCGCCCTTCTTGATCTCCGGCAGCTCGTTGCGGATCCGCACCGGCAGCGAGTAGCCGCTCAAGTGGGTCAGATCAGCTGACGGTGTGGCCTCGGGCGTGGTCTCTGGTGTAGCCTCGGGCGCAGCATCTGGAGCAGCGTCTGGCTCTGGGACTGTGTCCTCGGGCTTCTCGCCAGCACTTGGCATGCTGCCCTGGGCCACAGCCGACGTGACGGC